CCCCATCCTGGACAGAATCGGTAATTTGTACCGATTTTAAGGGGATTGAAGAAATCAACAAATTCTTTGGGGTCTGAAGTAGAATTCTTTGTAAAATCCAGTGGCTTAGGTGGAATTTGGCTATGGGTCTGACCAGAAGACATAATTAATGAACAGATCAGTCAGGAAAAACAAGAAAAAACGCAAAAATCAAAGGAAATTTCTAGAGAGAAGGAGGAGCTTCTCTCAGTAGACAAAAATGAACTGTCCCGTCCTACACTTTAAACCTTAAACCTTAAATTCTAAACCCTAAAACCTAAAACCCAAACCCTAAACCTTTTTTTTTTTTTTGACATGAAAACTAAGGGAAAATTAACTAAAAATCCAGCTAAAAAACAGTGACAGACCAGCTGGGAAACCAGTAAAAACCAGTTAAAACAGCAAACAGGTTGTTCACGTGAACAGTGCATACTAGACAGCAGGAAGCAAATAACTAAGCATCCACCACAGCATACTGCGAGCATTCAATTTTCCTGGCCATTTTAACACCTTGCTGATCCTGTATCAAGATAAGTTTGGCATGGAGAAGAATCTTCAAATCTTGTGAGAAATCCAAAGAGGCACCCTCCATAACAGCCAGGTTAGCAAAGCAGTAAGCCAAGAAATTTCCTTCCCTGTACACATGAGCCAGATTGAAATTCAATCCCTCCAATAATTCCATAATTTCCTCGCAAATCCCCTTAAACTTCCAGGCCCTCATGTGTCCCTTCATTACCATTTGGACCATCACAGCCGAGTCTGTCTCGATCTGGAGACCCTAGTCTGATAGCCCATATCTTCTAAATAACAATAGCCCATCCTTGAAGGCGCGTAACTCCGCCTCCATGTTAGAACATTCCTCATAGAAAAAGGAGGCAGCCAACACTAAGTGCCCCCATTCATTCCTAACCACGGCTCCACCCCCAGCTATTCCAGGATTGCCTTTCGATGCCCCGTCCACATTTAGCTTTAAAAGACCAGAAGGGGGAGGAGACCAGTTCACCCAAATGACCTTTGGTTTCAGTACATGCCTCAGCTCCACCTTTAAAGCCCTCAAAAAATCCATACCCATTATACCTTCCTTTGCCTTGGGTCTAATGTCATGTGCCTGTAGACGCAAAGCAGAACAGATGTCCAAAAACACAGCGTGAGCAAACAGAGAGGAGTCTTCATAGACTCTCCTGCATCTCTCCTGCCATAGCCTCCAAAAAACAACCAATGAAACCCTCTTAACAAGTTGTGGGTCACAGAGTTCTTTTTAAAGATACGTATCAGCCTCATCATACGAACCATAGGGGATTCAGCCTCAAAAACCTGAAAACCACAAAAAGCAGCGAGCTTCCGCCCATACCTCTTTGGCAAAACCACACTGCACAAAAAGATGAGGAGCAGATTCCACCTCCTGACAACACAATGGGCATCTGCTAGCCAATGCCACATTAATACGCTGGAAATTAGAGTCCATGACAACAGCTTGATGATGAATCTTCCAGCCCAGAAATTTTGCACTAGGGAATACCGATTGGTTCCAGATCGCAGAGGCCACAGAGTTAGGTCCATTCGAAGTTCTCACCGCCTGCCATGCAGAATTTATGCTGAAATCCCCAGAGTCAGTTAGTTTCCAAATTAAGCAGTCTTCCTTGTCATACAAAAAAATCCCAGAGTTCTGAATTTCATGCATTAGCTAATCCGAAACCAGAGTCCCCAAATTCTGCCACTGCCATTCCCCTCCATCCCAAGCCGCAGCCAAGCTTGGAAAACAGGAAGGGGGTTCACCAACTCTGTGCAGCAAGGGACCAGTGCCAGTCCAATTAGAGCACCAAAAGTCTACTGATCTACCATTGCCCACCAAAACCTGGGAGTGATCCAGAACCGAACTGAAAAAAGGCTGCAACATTCTGAAGATTCGAGCTTTACCAGTTCCCAAACATCGCAACGTGTGTTTGCCATTTAAGAATTTTGCTCTAAACATGTTCGCCCAAAGAGAATTACCCTTAAGAATTCCCCAAACCTACTTCCATCGAAAAGCAGTTTGGATGTCTTCGAATTTGCGAATACCATGGCCACCATCATGCTTGGGTCTTGAAATATCAGACCATGACACCCATTGCCTTTTTCTCTCACCCATCCTGCCTGACCATATAAATGAGGCCATCAGAGACTTCAATTTAACAAGGATACCTTTGGGCACGCTTAGGCAAGAAAGCAAATGAATAGGAACTGCATTGAGGACCGATTGAATCAAAATAATTCTGCCCATGTTTGATAGTAAGCATGCATACCATCCTTCCAATTTAGCCTTGAATTTTAGGACCACTTCCTCAAAGTCCTGTAGTTTATATCTTCCTCGAATCATAGGGCAGCCCAGGTAGGTGAAGGGGCACTTTTTAATCGGAATTTGAGCAATTCTGGATAGTGCCATTTGCCTGCCCTGGGGGATCTTGGAAGAGTAGATTAAAGAGCTTTTCTGCTTACTAATTCCCTGACCAGAGCTATCCTCATATCTCACCAAAACCCTCATCATTCGTACCATAGAAGGTTTATTCCCCCTAAGAACAGCAGTGTGTCATCTGCAAAAAACAGGTGAGAAACAAGAAGCGCACCCCTTCCTGCATGAAAGGCCTTGATCCGTCTGTCGCCAAAAAGCTTCATCAAACCCCTACTTAACACTTCCTCTGCCAGAATAAAAAGAGCAGGTGAAATAGGGTCACCTTGTCGCAATCCTCTAGACGAAGGAAAGTAACCAAGCATACTGAGAAAAATTGATTTTTTAGGCAGTTGCCAATGATTGAAATAAATAAGCTTGAAAAACCAAAGCCAACCAAAGTTCTCTCCAAAAAATCCCACTCAATGCGGTCATACGCCTTCATCATATCCAATTTAAGAATAACATTGCCAGCCTCAGCTTTTCTATCAGGCTCTCCGACCATTAACTGAGCTAGAGAAATACAATCCTCAATTCCTTTTCCTTTGAAAAAACCATGTTGTGCATTTGAGATCAGATATGGAAGAAGGGTAGCAAGTCTATTGGAGAGGACCTTAGTGAAGACTTTGTACAAAAAATTGCATAGGCTTATAGGCCTAAATTCTGTGAAAGAGTTTGGCTTCATCACTTTTGGAATCAATACAAGGAGTGTGGAGTTAACAGACCTCGGGACCATTCCCCCATTCAAGAAAAAATTAACCGCCTCCAATAGGTCATTTTTAACAATATCCCATGCTACTTGAAAAAAATTTCCAGAAAAACCGTCAGCTCCTAGGGCGCTCTCCACAGACATGGAGAAAACAACTTGTTTCACTTCAGGTAAGGTAGCAGCCATAGTCAAGTTCTCATTATCCTCTGGACCAACAAGCTTGGGAATAACCCCAAACAGATCATCATCAAGCACATGATCCTCTGATTTGTACAGTTTAGCAAAAAACAAAATAGCTTGCTGAGAAATCTCCTCCTCTGAAACACACCATTCACCATCTTCGCCTTTGATTCTGAGCAGCCTGTTCCTCACTGCCTTAACTTTGGCCAAAGCATGAAAAAATTTGGTATTCCTCTCCCCTTGCAGTGCCCATTTAACATTAGCTTTTTGTCTCCAGTATGATTCCTCCAGCCTAAGAGTTTCTTCTAAGTTCTTTCTTGCGGCTTCTAAGTTAGATGCAGTAGCATCCGAATAGTTATCGTCCACACATCTTTCTGCCTCTCTCAACGCCAACCACCTCGTGCTTAGTGATCTTTTCAAATATATTCCCAAAGACCTCCTTGTTCCACTTTTTGATTTTGAGCTTTAGGATTTTCAGTTTGAGTCTATTGGGTTTTCTGCGTAACACCCATTCCAATTGCCAGCTACTAAAGGTAAAAAGGAAGGGTCCTCGACCCACATGTCCAGAAATTTAAAATAAGAGATCCTTTGCTGACCATCATTCTCTGCAATCTTGATCAACAGGGGGCAGTGGTCAGAGCTCCCTCTTGTCAAGTGCAAAACTTGAGAATTCTGAAATTTGGTAATCCATTCAGTGTTGGTAAACATACGGTCAATCCTTTGCCACATCCTTGAACCTCCATGAGGACCATTACACCAAGTAAAATTATTTCCTTCATAGCCACAGTCAATAAGACCTTCCGAGTGAATGCAGTCCCCAAATTCATCCATTGCCAGCACAGATGGAGAAACGCCACCCATTCGTTCACTTGATCTCATCACAATGTTAAAGTCCCCCATTACCAGCCAAGGCATAGCAAAGGAAGAGGAAATGTACTTAAGGTGCCTCCATAAAGGATGTCTTAACAAATAGTCACAGCATCCGTACACCACAGTAACCAAAACTGGGTCAGCACCCAAGTGTGATACAGTGACAGTCATAGCCTGCACAAAATTCATCATACTCATTACCACCAGATTATTATTCCATAAAAGCCACATATTTTTCTCTGCCAATGTATTCACCATGAAAGAATTCATCCCCACAGCTGAACCAAAATTTCTCAATTTAGAAGGAGACATCTTAGGTTCGATTACAGCCAGTAAACATACCTTATTCATCACAATTAATTTCTGCAACCTATTTCTTAAGGTTTCCTTACCAGCTCCCCTTACACTCCACATGAGAAAATTCATCATCATAAAGATGGTAGGTCGGTATTCTCTCTGGGACTGCACCTAGTACTGGAATCTGAGAATTCTTCAACTTCGTGACTCACCAAAACGAGCCGTTGAGCTTCATCATCACCTGAATCCTCTGTCATGTCAGCCCATTTCTTTGAGCTTTCTTGGTCAGAGCTAAAGCCTTTGTCAGATGGTTCTTTGTCTCGAAACAGTCCATTTTCATCATCCACCAAATAATTTTGTTTCCCTCTCCGCTTATATGAATGATCAACCAGAAAAGAAGATGATGCAGATGAGAAGTTTTGCCTGTTCAATAAACACTCAAGGATACCATCCACATGCAGCACCTCATTACTCACATCCTCTCCGGTGGTCAAACATTCGTTAATCACTCCCAATCCATTGATCCTTCTCTTCAACAGACAACGGTGGGTTCAGAACTTCCCTCTCCTTAGCTACTGATTCTCTAGCATCGCTGACCACAATAATGGGGTCACCATCCTGGTGCACCACTTCAATACTTTGCTCTACGTCCGCATCCTTGCCAGAATGTTCCCCAAGTAACACGTTGAATTTGTTGACTTCTACCTTTCCTGGATCACTTGAGTCTTTTGACTTACAGTTTCCTTGGGTCACTTGGTTATTGTCTTTCAAAATTGATTTGGGACCTCCTTTTCTTGTAACCTTTTGCCACTCTTTTGCTTTCGCTTTAGGATCAACGATCTTCTTGATAAGATCAGCTTTCTGCTTCTCTTCCTCCTTTGGGTCATTCACCTGCATTCCCCCTATTTCCTCCTCTTCCCTTTTCCCTTTGCGAAAATCAATCCTTTCATGACCTTGTTTCAGGCACCCAGCACAGTACTTTATAGATTTCTGATAGATTATTTTCTGTCAGCGCCCACTAGTTCCTCCAAAATCCAACCATATTCTTAGAGGATTTTCCACCAACAAGTTGACTTCAACACACACGCAAGCAACCCCTGGCCTTGTTAATTGCAAAGTAGAAGAATCAATTACAATGATCTTCCCTATGGGGCTTAATATATCACGGAGGCTTTCCTTATCAAACAGATGGATTGGCAAACCTGGGAGCGAAATCCAAATAGGAACCATCGGCGGCTCTATTGCGGGCAAGAACTCTAGGAACCACTTGAAGAACCTGAACAGAAATCCTTCGATGTATGTCGCGTCTTTCAGCCACGTTTTGACATAGTCTTCAAAGATATTGAAACTGATGAGGACATGCCTTGGGTCCAAAACCCCCACTGTGAAGTCGCCCTTTGGTAGCCATCGGGTGCTTATGATGACCCCAATTGAAGGTTTCCCATAGGCGCATTTGCCTATCAACGTCTGGTGGAACTTTGTGGCTAGGGCCTGAGTTTCATCAAGGGACCAGTAAATCCCTGGTTCGCCATTGTTGTATACCACCCTTTTCGCTGGCCTGAGTGAGAAGCTGAAGGAACCGGGGAAGAGTGCCCCTTTGTCGAGTAAGAGATTGCCATGGGTGTCGAGGAAAGCTGCGGCTGAGCCATGGGCATTGATGGATTGGTCATGGGGACCGAGGTATTTGGCATGGGCACCAAAGGAATAGTCGTGGGCACTGAAGGATATGCTATGGGTACCGAAAGATTTGGAAAAGAAGACGGATGGTTATCCATAGGCCCCGAAGGATTTGAAGAAGCAGATGGCGCCGTAAGAGGTGGAATAGCAGCGGGTTTTTTGAAGAGGGAAGCAAAATTTTTTCTAATGATTGATGTAGGCTGAGTGTTCGGGTTCACAGGGGGCATACCAGAGATTTGTTCGCTGTCCTGTCTCGATCCAGAAGCTTTTGTTCCAAGCTGACCTAAATCGGTAAATATCACCGATTTCTGTGGGTTACTAGATTTCTGCGAAATCTTCGGGGTTATTGTGGGATTTTGAGAAACATCAGGTGACTTTGGTGGAATTTTGTTTAACACCTGGGCTGAATACATAATAAACTTGCAGATCCAATAGAAATAAATGCAAAAACGCAACAAGTCAAGAAGGGTAGAGAGAAGTGAGAACTTCTCTCTCTAGAAACATAAAACTGCCCTCCTGTTAAACCCTGTCTAAACCCTAAATTCTAAAACTCTAAAATTCTAACTCTAAATCTTAAACCTTAAATCCTTAAACCCTTAACCCTAAAATCTTAAATTCTAAACCCCTTTTTTTTTTAAAAAAAGAAATAAATTTATGGAATAAAATCAAGATTACAAGACGCAAAAAATAGAACTTTAAACAAAAAATGGAAGCCAGAGTTGGCTTTAAACCTACGAGATAAAACAGCAAAAGGAACAACTGAAGACCAGCTGAATGCCCAGCTGAAAAACCATTAAATCCAGCTGGGAAACCAGCTGGAGACCAGCTGAACAGAGCCAAGCTGCCACCAACATTGAAAAGCCAACAAGCAGCAAAGAAACCAGAGCATAAAGCTAAAACAGAGACCAAGCTGGAAGAAAACCAGCTGAAAAGAACCAGGGAGAGCAGGTGGAGTCCCATAAAGGACCTGCTGAGAATGCAGCCTCCAACTGTCCGTAACGAGAACCATAGAACCAGCAGCAAGAGGGGATCAGCTGAGAGGCGAAAATGACAAGGGACCAGAGGAAAACCAGCTGAGGAACCTTTAAAGAGCCAGCAGAGAACCAAAAAAAATGGTTGGACAGCAACCTGACTGTTCACGTGCACAGTGCCATGAACAGTCACGTGAACAGTGGTAAATAGCAGCAAAATGGCGAGCAATCCAGCTTCATTGTAAAAGAACCAGCTGAAAGCCCAGCTGAAAAACCAATAAAAACCAGAAATCCAGCTGAAGATCAGCTGCACAGAGCCAAGGAGGCCCAAAACCAGAAGCCAACACTTGCCACCATCAAAGATACCCCAATAGGCAGCAAAACCAGCTGACAAAACGCGAGGAAACCATGAGAAAACCAGCTGAAAACGTAGCTGAAAACCAGCTGGACCTCCATAAAAACCAGCTGAGAGAGCATTGCAACCCAATATGCGTGAACAGCCCTCAACAAACCAAAACCCGCAGCCAAGCAATCACAACGGCTGAAAAAATCAAGCTGTAGCATCCAAAGGAACCATGAACCCCAGCTGAAAACAGCACAAAAAATCAGCTGGGAAACCCACTGAAATGCAGCTAAGGACCAGTAGAAACTCCATTTGGGATCCAGCTGAAAGACCAGCTGCAATTGGCCTTCTGTAGCAGCAACCAGGCTGTTCACGTGAACAGTATTTCCTGACCAAAACCAGCAGACAAGAAGCTGAATATCATCCACAGCAGCTGAAAAATCAGAAGAGACCAGCTGAAAGAAGCCATTAGCAGCAGCAAGCAGGCTGTTCACGTGAACAGTGCCGAGAACAGTGCTCCCTGGCCAAAAACAGCAGACAAGCAACTGGATTACCCCCACAGCTGCATAAAAGACACAAATGTTGCCTAAACTTCCCAGCAGGACAAGAGAAACCAACACTCCAGCTGAGAGACGCCAAGCAATGAGAAACAAAAGCCCCACCACATCCAAGCAGCTAAAGAAAAACAGTAGGATCACCATACAGCAGAGAGTGAATAAGCATGAGATGCCAGCACCCACCCCTGCTGAAATGCCAAGAAAAACAGCAGGGCATAAACCCATGCACTGAAAACAGCAGAATAGGCCATAGAAATGAGCAGTGGCCTCCATAGAAAATTCCTCAGCAAAAATGGAGACGTAAAATGAGCCATCAGAATCACAAACAAACCCATTTTGTTCGTGCCCTTTTTTTGCCTTTTTGATCCTGCAGAAGAATTAAAGTCCCTTGGAGAGGGATCCTCAGGTCTTGGGAGAAATCAGTAGAGGAGCCATCCTTAACCGCTAGGTTTGCCAAAAAATCAGCCAAATAATTTGCTTCCCTATACACATGAATAAAGCTGAAATTTAATTGCTCCAATAATCCCCTGATCTCATCACAAAGGCCCCAAAACTTCCAAGCTCTCATTTGCCCCTTCATGACTATCTGAACCATCACCGCCGAGTCAGCCTCGATATGGAGATTATAGTCAACAAGGCCATAGCGTACAAACAGTAATAAGCCATCCTTCAATGCGCAAAGCTCAGCCTCCATGTTCGAGCAGACATCATAGAAGAAAGAGGCAGCCAACACTAAATTACCCCACTCGCTTCTTACCACGGCGCCACCACCAGCCCTTCCTGGATTGCCCTTGGACGCCCCGTCCACATTCATCTTTAAGGCACCAGAAGTCGGAGGCAACCAGTTAACCCAAAGAACTTTTGGCATCAATTCATGCCTCACCTCAACCTTTAAAGCTCTCAGAAATTCCTTGCCCATCAATCCCTCTTTTGCCTTGGGTTTTATACCCTAAGCTTGCATTCTAAGAGCAGAACAAATGTTCAAAAAAACAGCATGAACAGACAAGGAGTTTCCATCAAAAGTTCTACTGCATCTTTCCCTCCATAACTTCCAAAAGACCACCAAAGGAATGCTTCTTAACAAGCTGTGGCTCACAGATTACTTTTTAAAAATCCTTGACATCCTCATCATTCTTACCATGGGAGACTCTGACTCAAATAAATAGAAGTCGCAAAAATTTGTAATTTTCATCCAAACCGCTTTAGCAAAGGAGCATTGAATAAAGAGATGGGTGACGGACTCCACATCTTGATGGCATAGGGGGCACCTACTGGCCAATTCCACACCAATCCTCTGGAAGTTTGAGTCCCGACCACTGCCTTATGGTGAATCTTCCAACCCAGCAGCTTAGCACTTGGGAATGCAGTGTGGGACCAGATCACTGAGTCCACAGCATCAGGGTCAATGGAAACTCTCACCAAATTCCAAGCTGATTTGACAGTGAACTCCCCAGCGTCATCAAGTTTCCATATCAGACGATCCTCCTTGTCACTTAAAATAACACCAGAATTTATGATCTCCAGCTTAAGCTGATCAGGCATGTCAATACCCAGAACCTGCCATTGCCAGTTCCCTCCATCCCAGACATCTGACAAAATAGGGAAAGACGGAGGGAGAACCTCAATTCTATGCAGCAAAGGACCTGAACCAATCCAGTTAGAGCACCAAAAATCAACAGCACTTCCATTGCCCAACATGACATGGGAGTAGCCCAAAACCGTGCTGAAATAAGGTTGCAGCATACGAAAAATACGGGCTTTCCCAGATCCCAACCACCTCAGCATATGTTTCCCATTCAAAAATTTAGCCCTGAACATGTTAGCTCACAAAGAGTCCCCTTTTAGGATACCCCACACCTGTTTCCATCTAAATGCAATTTGAATGTCTTCGAGCTTTTGGATACCAAGGCCTCCTCTTGCTTGGGTCTTAAGATGGCATCCCATGAGACCCATTGTCTTTTCCTCTCCCCCATCTTACCAGACCAAAAAAAGAGGCCATTAAGGACCTCAACTTGAGCAGAATGCCTGTGGGTAAGTTTAAACATGAGAGTAAATGCACAGGGACAGCATTAAGGACCGATTGGATCAGTACCACCCTGCCCATATTTGATAATAAACCAGCATACCATCCCTCCATTTTTGCCTTGAATTTCAATACCACATCCTCAAAATCACGCAATCTATACCACCCCTTAATTAAAGGGTAGCCCAAATAGGTAAAAGGACACTTCTTAACAGGAATCTGTGCAATCCTGGACAACGCCCTCTGTCTTCCCAGGGAAATATTAGAGGAGCAAATAAGGGAACTTTTTTGTTTGCTTATTTTCTGTCCTGATCCACTCTCATATT